GGATACAATACCGATACTAGTAAATTCACTTGCTATTGTCAAGACCAGCCTTATGCAACTACTTGCAAGAAAGGTATGTCGTGTTAACTTTATTTTTGTGAAAGAAGATTAACTGTCCTGATGTAGACAAAAATTGGCCCAAGCAAGATTTGTTGGATTTCTTTCCATTATCGCAAAATGGAGAAGTGATAATGCACTATTTTCATTTCCTCTATTTTTCTGGAAAGAAAATTCATAACAATTTCCTTATTCTTTATTTAATTAAGATGACCTTATATTGTGATTGCATGTAAAATATAGAACAAGTCTGTACTTAAAATAAGGTTGCTTTCCCTTGCAAGTTTCCTATTTTTAACGAATATAATTAATATTTAAGAGTTTTCTTTGTTTAAATTTTGTTGTTTGATCATACTTGATCTGTTCATATGATGATTAGCAACGCTAATATTTTTTTTTCAGGTGAATATCATCTTGATCTTATAGTTGGCCATGGTGCAGTACCAGTTATCGTGCCCCGTGTTAGTGGGGTGCACATGTTGTTAGATAGTTTTGAGCCTATCCATGGTGTTCTTCTTTGTGAAGGAGAAGATATTGATCCATCATTATATGAAGCTGAGACGTCTAATCTTTCACTAGAAGAGTTAGAAGAAATCAGGAGGATTCATGCAAGCGATACAGCTATTGATAGAGAGAAGGATTCGATTGAGTTGAGGCTTGCAAAACTTTGCCTTGAAAGAAACATACCTTATCTGGGAATTTGCAGAGGATCTCAAGTTCTAAATGTTGCTTCTGGGGGTACCCTTTATCAGGACATTGAAAAGGAGGTTTCAAAGAAGATTAGGGAGTCTCAAAGAGTGAAACACATGGATTATGATAATTATGATGGGCATAGACATGTGGTTAAGGTGGTAGAGAACACACATTTGCATGATTGGTTTAGGGATTCTCTGGAAGAAGATAAAATGGAGATTTTGGTTAATAGTTATCACCACCAGGGGGTGAATAGATTAGCACAAAGATTTGTGCCTATGGCGTTCGCACCAGATGGATTGATTGAGGGGTTTTATGATCCTGATGCTTGTAATCCTGAAGAGGGTAAGTTCATAATGGGACTTCAATTCCATCCAGAGCGAATGAGGCAGGATGACACCGACAAGTTTGATTATCCAGGATGCCCAAGGGCCTATCAGGTTTTAAACCCATCCCTTACATACGATCTTTTATGGGAGAAATTGATGAAACAATGTATAATTGGTATGTGCATGGTATTTTGCAGGAATTTGTCAAGGCTGTGATTGCCTATCAGAAGAAGCTCAACAGCAGTACTACATCTGTGCCAAGGCCTCTCAAGCTAGATCAAGAAATGGAGAAGAAAAGGAAGCATATAATTAGAAGTTTCTTTCTTGCAAGAAACATATACACTGCTGGCCAACGAATGAATCCATCAAAGGAATCAGAACTACAAGCTGGAGCAGAATTCCTAGAGGTATAAACTCTAGATAGAATGATAGAGAGTCCATATTCACTATTCACAAAACTTTTGAACATTGTTTCAGGATCATAGATTTTGTTTTCAGGCTTTTGATCTTGTGTCATTAATGATCATTTTATCCATGCAGTCCAACACAGCTTTGAGCTTGCAACAAGAGAACAGACTCAAGCAGATGGGTGCAACAGTGAGGAATGCAGGTTCCTACATTGAAAGACTGAGGACGAATGAGGAGAGGGAAGATTTGGCAAAAAATGTGATGGGAAATATGTCTGCAGAGCAGTTGTCTGACTTGTTGTCTTTCTACCATATGATGGGACAGATTTGCTCAGAAGTTTTAGATAGAAAGCTGAATGGCATTGTCCATGGCATCGGTTCTTGATAGATGGTTTTTCTTGCTTTCTCGTTGATGTATCATGTTAACAAAATAATAATTTGAAGTCACAGGAAACTTGGGTAAGCAGTTCCTGTTTTTCCCGTATTTGACTTTTGTTGTTTCTTTCACATGTGATTAAAAAGCGTAACATCAATATCTGTGATTAATTGACTGGTTTATAAATCATAGCCACTGCTTTCCTGTGAAAATAGAATTGGAAGAGGAAGGGATTAATTAAAAGAAATTTTCTGCTCAAGAATCTTGACAGTGTTCATACACGCAAATCTGCTCTTAAGGCGTACGAAGCCTCTCCAACGCAGATTTCTCCAGCAACACGCCCTTTATCTCCTTATACTAAAACCATTCAATTCACTTCACTTCACTAGTGAGCCGTTCAGTGTTTATCTGACTTTTCAGCCTCAGAAAAGGCAGCATGTCATCTTCGGCGATAATCATGCTGAAGCAAACAAGAAAGAAACAGATGAAGGTAGCAGTCTAGCAGACATGCATTAATTACTTAACTAAATAAAATCTGAATCAGGAGGAAGTGGGGTTGAAATTATTTTTTGCTTGAAAATGTATAAAAATAATTTTTTTATTTTTTAAAAAATCATTTTTAACATTGGTTTTTGATATAAAATCACTAGAAAAACTTAATTAAAAAATTTTAAATTTTAATTAAAAAACAAGTGATATCTTCTACAACTTTGGGTTGAATAAATGCACAAGAAGTCTCGAGACAAGAAGTAATGAGCAGCCCAGCACTACAAGAAAGGCCCGGAAATAGTTGGAGCACAAACCATCCATCCAAAAAAAATAAAAAAAATACAAGAATTGTACTAGAGCCCAGCAATAACAAGCAGTAAATCCTAGAAAATAGTTATGATCCAATATCATCAATTAACAAAATCGCTGGATTGGATTTTATAAAAGCCCAAAATCCATATCCGATTATGTACTTAACTGAGATGTCGTGTTAGAACGCACCCAAGTTACTTGAGCCATGGGCAATCTTCTTCTTCCTGTGTGATTTATAGCCATAGATATCAGCTTTGACCTGGCTAAATCAGAGACAAAAAAGAATTCATGACCTAGACAACGACAGCTAAATTACTATATTTAATGACTTTCACAGGTAATGCAATTGTGAAGCATACTAGTCAACAAGTCGTTTTGCATGCCGTGTGCGTCATCATGTTGGACTTTCCCGGCAGATGAGTGAAGAAACGCGTTTTTCTCATCTCCATCGTGGATCGATAAACCACCGGCAAGTCTCAGACTCAGCTTTAAGCTGATATTTGATTTGAAGTTCAGATCTTGACGCTGGGCTCCCACCATGGAAATATTGCACCGCTCCTTTCCCTACGAAATCCTTGTGAAGTGTTTGATGGGGAGTAGACAATCTGTAAGCATCGAGAAATAGTAAGAACGCGGATTGAAACTTCATCCAAGTAAGATTTATAATTATAATTAAACCAATTAAGATATTATTGGTTCGGGTAAACCATGCCAAGATTCAACTAGATTACAAGGTTAATTTTGAAAAAAAAAACTTAAGAGTATGATTTAATCCTAGAACAAGATCAACTAAAAAATTAAGATTAGTTTTGAAGTGTAAAAAGTTGAGTTTATTAAAGTAACTGATCTGTTAGACCCGAGCCTAGGCCAGGTTAGGTCTTGGATCGATTCCAATACCAATTATTTTATAGGAGTCAAAATATAAAAGTAAAGACAGACCTTAATAAAGTCCTTAATCCTTGAGATGAGTCTCAATTAAATCCTTAGTCATTTTTTTAGTATCTAAATTAAATCTTCAATATATAAATAAAATCTCAATGATCCATCATTTACTTTTTAGTCTACGAAATTATTAAATAATCATATAACTTCTTTTTTTTCATAGTAAAATCTCTAAAATTCTTGTTTTAAATCATGAATTGTGTGATGGATGAAACTATATAAAAATATATAGAATTTATGTTTTTTTATATAATTTATTCATTTGTATGATGTGAGAGATTTTAGTAAATTCATGAGGTTCTAATGAGATTAAGAAAAATTATATGATTTTCAAGTAATTATCTAATCATTGTATTAACTTAATCTAATTAAGAATATATTAACAACTCGAGGGTTGGGATGAAAGGCTGGTTAAAGATCTAATTTCCCATTAGCATAGATCTTAACTAGCTTCCTATAAAAACCAACCCATCCACTGAGACATAAAAACTTCCTTTGTAACTCTATTTGTTTTTATATTTTAAAAATAGTTTTTTTAAAAATTATTTATATTTACTTTAAATTAAATTTTTAATATTTTTAAATAGTTTTGATATATTAATATAAAAAATAATTTAAAAAATATTATTTTAATATATTTTTAAATAAAAAATAATCATTACTACAACATCAAATAATTGCAAAGATTAAAATGAATTACCTTTCAAAGTTCCTTCTTCGTTTCTTCTTTCTTTTCTACTTTTGAACATCATCTTTCAGAATTCCAAGTCAAAGTCAAGTGAGGCTTCGTCTCAAATTCAATCACTGAAACCCTATGTCACGCAATCAGTTTCAACCTTCTATTTAATTTAATTTAATTTCTCCACATTTATTTCTTAGTTTACTATCCCAGTCCATACTCAAAGTGCGTTTTTATTTCTCAGAGCAGTCCAATTTGCTGTTCCATCACTGCAAGTTGTAGCATGTGGGCTATCAGAGTCCAATTTTATAATATAGTACAATTTACTGACATGACCATAGATTTAAAACAAATAATTCAAGTTTACAGGTTTTTTTAAGTAAAGAATATGATTTGAATTTAAAAAAACAAATCAAGATAATATATTTTTTTAATATTAAGATATTGATATATTATATCAATCTAAATTTCATGATTGTAGTTACTAAACTTGTAATTTAAATTATAATTCTATTAAATTTAATAATTTTTTTTTAAAAAATATTGTTATATAATAATAAAATTAAATATTCATAAAATTAAATATTAATTAAATATAAAAATATTTATTGATCTGTGACTACATCAATTTAAAATCACTCATATGTTAATTAAATTAAAAAAAAATGATTCCATCTAATTAATGAGAATAGGGCCGTCCATGATCTATTTCTATTGTGATAGGTCCAATATGGTTTTGGCAAAGCTGTCTTTTTTTCTTTAAAAAAAGAAAAAACGTTACAGAATTGGGAGCACAAGTTGGTTTGTACTGATGATATGTTATATCCATAACCATATCTGGAATTAAACCAACGCAAAGGGTCGTCTCGAACCACAGATAAAATCTTTCATTTTTTATTTATTACTACATATTTAGACTGAATTTAATACAAATATTTCATTTTCCTTTTTGGGAATCAAGTTTGTTGAACCATGGTTTGAACAATTGGACAACCCCATCATTTTATCTTAATTTTTGTTATTAGGTATACGAGAAAGATCCGATTTCATGTTATTATCATCAACCACATAAATACTTTTCCAAACTATGCCTGGATTTTTTTGCGTGTCCTTTAAATATATTTGACCGATTCTGTTCTCTTCTTTTAGTCCCCAAGACCAAGACAGTGATGTGGTAGCCTACAAGATTTCATTTTGCAAATAGAGGCCTCGTAGAAAGAAATTAATGTGGTAGCCCTTCCCAATATAAAAATAAATTTAATACTTTTAGTCCACCAAGCATTTAAATCCAAGTATTGCGTTCCCATCTATCCCTTTCTGACGTATTTATTTACCTGAAATTGATAAGTAGCACGTCAAGACTCATCTCTTTATACTCGAAACTATCCCTGAAGCAACCAAGCCCATTTTGCTAATACACGATTCCATTTCTCCTATATGCTGCTACTTCTTGCCAGAATGCATTCCTCGGCCTTTTCTTTTCTTTCAAATTTTGTTCTTGTATTGTTGCTCTTCATTCAAGTCCCTTCATCCTCAAGCAACGATGACCCGCTCACTGCCTGTAGTCAAAAGTTTGTATGCGGGGATATTTTCGTGGATATTCCATTCTGGGGAACTGACAGATCACGCGCCTGTGGCGTTCCTGATTTGGAGCTCAGGTGTGAGAGTAATATCACCAAGATGAATATCAATCAGGTTGCATATCGTGTTTTAAAAATCAATCAGGCTGATGGAATTCTCAGGATTGCAAGAGAGGACTACTTTGTTGGATTGTGTACACCTCATTTTATGAACAGCACGTTCAATCCTAAGGTTTTTGAGTCTGATGAGGGTTACAAAAATCTTACATTCATTTATGGTTGCAAGGATGAGACAACCATACCTGGTAGAATACCTTTCACTTGCAACATAAATGAGGTTAATGATCGACGTGCTTATATCCAAGAAGGAGATACTGGTCCTGGCGAATGCTATCGTAGTGTCTTAGTGCCAGTTTCTACAGATTTGCTACCATTATGGGATACGCAAACTTTGGATTGGCCACCAATCGGGAATATGCGACCTTGGGAAGAACACTTGAAAAAAGGATTCGAGGTAAGATGGAAGGTCGATGGGGAGGCGTGCTGGGAATGCTTCACCTCTTCAGGTAAGTACCACCTCATCTTCTCCTCAAATCAGTTTATGATGAACTCCAGTCACTTGTTGTTGCTTCACACACCTTAGTTCCGTTCCTGTTTTGCTATTTTAATTTTATTTTAAATGGACTTGGACCGAAGTAAACATCAATATGATGATGATGATGATGATGATCTCTTAGAACCCACTTGAATAGTCAGACTTTAGGGAGGCTCAAACTGCAGAACTAGACCATGGGAATAAGGGGCAGCTTTCTGGTTAGGAAACGGTCACACCATAGTTAAATTGTTGCCCATGGCGTCTTATCATACAACTAGCCGTAGGAAATCTTGATGGCATGTCCTGCAGAATTTTTGAACTGACAGAGAAAATTATGGGATTTTTGTGAACTAATTGATCATAGCCAAGAATTTAACTTGTCTGCTTTAATAATTGCCTAAATTATTAATCAGTCCTCGTTTATTAGAAAAATAATTAGTTAGTCCATCTGATTAAAAAAAGACAATATTATATCCTTATGTTTTCATTTCCATGATATTTTAACTTTTCCCTTAGTTTTTGTTGATTAAGAGTTGAGTTGTGATCTATTTAACTTTTTTTTCCCTTAAATATCTCCTTTTGAATTAAAATAAATTTATAAGAATTGATTTAAAATTGATTTTGTTTTTAATTTTTAGATTGTGGGTTAAATGAATTGACTCAAATAAATCTAATTTTTTATTTAAAAAACCTTAAAAGAAAGTTGTTTTGAAAGTTTTTTTTTTAAATAAAAAATAATATTGTTTTAAAAGAGCTCTAGATTAAGCCTCAAGTCAGCGATTTATAAAATTGACCTAGGCCGAACAAAAATTATAACTACGAATTTTTCCATTTTTAACATGCATGTGGTTGTTGCCTCGTGGAGCTGTTCATATTCCTTGACGGCTGGACCGGCAAAGTACCAGACAAAAACATACAATAACAGAGGATTTGTAAAAGAATTGTCCGATACTCTCTGGCAGATTCTTACCTTAGCTTGCATGGACATTCAGGGGAGATGAGATGGTGATTTAGGAAGGATCTCATCCCACAAACAACCTAAACCCCGAAGAAATAATTAGTTATTCGATTGGAATTAGCAAATCTAATCAACATAATAGAAATTACAGCGAACATTTGATAATTAAAATAGGGGGAAAATAAGGTAGGATAACACCAGGAAATTCACAAGGTGATGCAGAAATGGAGTCCAAATCAGAGACTTGGTCTTTCTGCAGATGACATTTTCTTCTTTGTTCTGTTTCCTGGAATAATTTATCAACTGAAACTTCAAATTCCCACCTCCTGTTTTCGTCTGATTTGACTTTAGGTGGCATCTATGAAATTAATTTTAAATAATTCACACGTTTACTCCAGGAATTTAAACACAGAGCACCGTATCATCACAAAATTCTTTTTCCTTGATTCGTCATCATACCATATAAACTTAATCAGCCAGGAGGATATCAAAATAAGGTTACAGTAGTTACAAACTCGTATTTACAATAAATTTTATTTACATTTTATATTTTTATAATGTGAAAATAGTGATGTGTTTATGACCTTTTCTTATATGGATTTTCGTTTAATAAATTCACACTTGGAGCAACAATTAAGATCTTAAAAACTAAATAATCTAAAGATATATCACGAAATTTGATTATTAAAAATAGTTTGGCTAAAAAACCTCATATTATATATATATATATATATATATAGAGAGAGAGAGAGAGAGAGAGAGATCTTCTTCCTATTTAGCGCGTAACCCAGCGATTAAGTAAGAAATGATTTGGTGTATAAGGGTCTACCAAAAGTGCTATGCAATAGCTTGTGTCAAGTGGCCACATCACCTTCCAATTGAAGCCGTACCTGTTTTCGGTATTTTGTGAATTCCGTTAACACGATTTTCTAGGTAGCTCTTAAACTCATCATCATTTTATTAATAAAATTCTAATATTATATACATAAAAGATTATAATTTATATTGTTTTTTAACTATAAAAAACTTAGAACAGGTTGTTTATTCAATTAAAAGTTCAATATCATTGAAGCTATGCTAATACTTATTAGGATAGGTTTTTTCTAGGATGTTTGGAAGGATTGTAAATATTATTTTTAATTTTTTTTTAAATAGATAAAATAATATTTTTTATTTTTTAAAAAATAATTTTTGACATTAACATATCTAAATATTTTAAAAAATAAATTTTAAATAAAAAATATAAATTTTAATGAATTTTTATGCAGCAATCTCAAATTTAAGTCTTACAGAAATTAGGTTGCAAGAATATATGTTTTACCTACATGAAAAGTATCTTTCTAACATTCAGACACCAATATTTACTCAGGCCGTCGCGCAATAAGTATAAAGCTATCCATTTAAGACATGAAACTCGAAAATTTTAACAAGAACACATAATTTGACTATGAGGATTCAAAATACACATTATCTTGCTGACAAAATGACCTGCCTCCTTGTTTGGACACCTGAATTTACGTTGATGCCACTCTCACCATTCTAATGGAAGCTTCTCTTCGACAAAATCTCCATTGGTCAAATAAGTACTACCAATTCTATTGTATTGATCGAGTAAATAACTCCCACCTATGTGTTTTCTCCTCTTAACTCAATACTTGAACAACGTTTCCTGTCAATCCCTCTGCACAAACACGACTGCTACTCCTTCAGGCCATGTCTTGGTTTATCCTACTCCTAACCATAGCCTTGGTCTGTGGTTCAGCACCTGTGTTTGCTGATGATGATGAGCGATATCTGAACTGCATGAAGTCATTTGATTGCGGAAATATTAAGGGTGTTGGTTATCCTTTCTCGGGATCCGATAGGCCTGATTACTGTGGCTATCCCGGGTTTGAGCTCGGTTGCAGCAACCAAGATCCGGAGATCACAATCATGCGATCGACTTACAAACTCCTTGGCATCAATAACCAATCGCGGACTCTCAACGTTTCTAGATCAGATTACACAGAAAATCTATGTCCTGCTCTCCTTTCCAATACCTCTTTGAATCCAAACCTCTTGAATTACACTTCAGATCATGCTGAGGTAACACTGTACTATGGTTGCCCTAGTCCAAGCGCACCAGCGTTATCATCTCAGTTTACTTGCGACATTAACGACACTGTTATGATGGGATACTTTATAACAGTCAACCTCTCTGTCATTAGTATGACTGATCCCAGCTTAATCAGCTACCTGACAACATGCAACAATAGTGTTAAAGTTCCTGCCCTTCAATCAGCTGTTATGCCAATTCTAGCCAATCCAACTGTAGCACAGTTGCTTGAAGCTATTAATCAAGGTTTTGAGTTGGAGTGGAGCGCAAATGATTCGTTATGTGATACATGCAAATCTTCTGGTGGTCAGTGTGGGTACAACCAGACCACTACAGCATTCACTTGTTACTGTGCGGATCAACCTCAAGGTTTTGAATGCTCAGCATCACCACAGGCACCTAGTCAATCAACAAGTTAGCCCTCTTTTCTTTCTTGATGCCATGATTGGATAGATAGAGATAGCTGAAATCTAAGATATGTCTTCCAGGCTAGGTGATGTAGGAGGACCTCTGGTAAAAGAAACAGGTGTGAATCGTTCCTTCGAGTAGAGGGAGGAACCTAGCTATCTATTAGGAATTGTTCAAAGCTCCATGATCCTGGAGAGAACACCTTCCTCGACCATTTACTTCCAGTATATCAAGGAAACAAAGACTTTTAACTGACAAAGACTTTATATCATGAAAACATAGGTATCCCTTCATCACAAGGAGCAATCCTTAAAAGTACTCCCAGCCTAGTATGTGTCGAGATATATTATTTCTTTAGCAGTAGCAGGAGCAAGAGACTGTCGAATGAAATTACTCTCAGTTAATTTAGAATTGCTAAATACTCTTCATCCCCACCAGTCCAGGTTCCTCGTTTAGTGAACTGAAATTTGTCCAGGTTCCTTCTTCAACTAGTCCTGATTTCTTGTTTAGCGAAATGCAACTATCCTACTCTCCTAAGTAATCAAGGAACAAAATTATGTTTCAGATATTTGTAACTTCTACTGCATATTTGAGTCGAGTCAGGTCAGGTTTTACCCTGTCATATTTTCGTCTTTGATAATTTCCAAGCACATGCTTCAATAATTTCAAGAATCGATGTTTGAACTACTTCCAGAGGCTTACAAGTCCACTGGTTTTGGTTTAGCGTTAATGAATAATTAATTGTAGCAATTCGAGGTTATTTGTTAAGAGGTTCAAAGATCGAAATTAGGCTTTTTTCTTCAGTCTTGTGTTGTCTATGACCGTAAGAAAGTTGGGGCTCTGTGGTGATAGTTTGAATACATAATATGATCCACATCTTGTTCATGAGATGTTAATTAAATCTAAGTTAATCTCTGGGATTTTTATTTTTTTTGCAGCCATTTATACTTATTTCTTTATTAGTTGTGTTTAGTGATAGAGAAAATTGAACAATTCATTTACTCATAGTTTGATTCCCCTGTTTTCTCTGTTTTTTGCAATGCCTCTCTGCGATTTTGGCAATGGAGAACCTGCTTCCCTTAATGTTCCAGTTTCTTTAGGACAATAACTTGTATGTCTATAATCTGAATGAAGACATGAATTATTTTGTGTTCAACAAATAATAATTGAGATAGCCACTATCATATTTCAAGTTCAGTCCAATTGATCATGCTTTCTAAGCGCCTACTGCCTACTTAAAACTTGCTTCAATGTGGTCATTGATGTTCCTGGCTTTCATGATTTTTTTGCAGAGAAGAAGTCTCGAAACAGTCCACTCGAAATTGGTATAATTCTGCTACTCTCACTTTATAAAATCAACTCCAAAAATACATGCTGAGCATTTTGGTTTATTTATTTATTTTCATCTCCAGGACTTAGCTCAGCAGGTGCTGTTATTGGTGCCTTTGTGGGATGCTGGATGTTGGCCTTTATACAACGGAGGAGAAGAAAAGCTGCCCTAGAGAAAACCGAAGAACTTCCTATAGCAACTCCTTCAAGCAAAGGCCTTGCTACCTCAACTAATCTCTCTCAAACCACCCCTTCTCTTACCTCCTTAAAGTCTGACATTGATAAGGGTAGTACCTACTTTGGAGTTCGGGTTTTCAGCTATGATGAACTTGAGGAAGCAACCAACTTTTTTGATTCTTCAAGAGAACTTGGAGATGGAGGGTTTGGCATTGTTTATTATGGTTAGAAGATGAAATGATTTCATTTTGCAGTTTAGGAACTTGCATCCATTAACTGCTTTGTTGACTCTTTCTAAATTTCTATTGCTATTGCTTGTTTTATCAGGTGTCCTCAGGGATGGGCATGAGGTTGCCGTCAAGCGCCTATATGAGAACAACATGAAACGTACTGAGCAGTTTATGAATGAAATTGAGATCCTAGCCCATTTACAACACCGGAATCTGGTGAAGCTTCACGGATGTACCTCCAGGCACAGCCGCGAATTTCTTCAGATTGATTAGTATTCCAACTTCCATACATCACATTTCACAGGGTGTTAAAAGTTGTGTTTTTTTTCAGGTGTCTGATCTTATATCGTTAATTATCATGTTATTTAAACAGTCAGACACAGCTTTGAGCCTGCAACAAGAGAATAGGTTGAAGCAGGTGGTTGTAACAACGAGGAATGCAGGCTCCTACATGGGAAAACTGAAGATGAACGAGGGGAGGAAAATTTTGACAAGATGGGAAACACTTCTGTAGAAAAGTTGTCCGATCTGTTGTCTTTCTACAACATGATAGGCCAGACGTTGATTGTTGATTGATAGTTTTCTTCTGTTTTGACTGTTTATATGTATATATAGAAAATTTGATGAAGAAATTTGTGTCTCTCTTCTAACATTCCATTATTATGATTGAAAAAAACATAAAGCAGCAAGGGTATTAGTTTTCTAATATATATGTCAAATGTTATTTAATTTTTTTTAAATGTATAAAAATAATATTTTTTATTTTTTAAAATTTATTTTTAAAATTAATATATTAAAACAATTTAAAATAATTTTAAAACAATAATATTAAACCTAATAGCTTTGGGTTCATAGTTGTTAGATTTAGTGAGGAATGATCATTTTTTCTGTTTGTTTTTTAATAAAAAATAAATAACCAAGTTAATCTTTTAAAAAAATTAAATTGAAACTAGTTACGGTTAATTTTGGTTTGGTTCGGTTAATTAAAGTAAAAAACCAGAAAACCGACCATATATGTGTTGATTTGACATAAACTACTGAGTAATGAAACCAGAGCAAAGAATGGAAACATTTCTTTCATCAAGGATATCCAAAAATTCTTTTGCACTTCTCTCCAACAATACAGATTTACTAATTGCATTCAAACAATAAAAAGGAAAACTAAGTACAAGATGCTCACCAGATTTGAGGAGATTAGATGCAAAAAATCCCTTCTGCTTTGTAGTTGTTTGCTTGTCTGGGTTTTTCATCTATATCTACTAATGAGTTTTTAGTTTCCTCGAGCTTTTTTTGAATTTCCAAGGAAGAGAATAATAAGCTCAGATCTTGCTGGTGGAAGCAGAAAAGCAGAATGAAGAAGGTCTACGTGGTGACCACCTAAAGTTAACTACCTCAGTTTTATCAAGTTTCTAACTTAAATCGGCTGTCAAATGTAGCTGAGAATTGTAGAGTTCATGGAGAAGACGAGAAGACAGAAACCAGAGAAGGGGAGACGCTGAGATTGAGAGACAAATTGGGGGAGGAACCGGTCGGGTTTGATTTGGTAACTGGGGTTAGAAAAAAAATTATATTAATACTTTTTATTTTTTATTTCATAATTAATTGAACCAGTTTGATTTGGTTTAATTTAATTAATTTTAAATTATTAAAACTAAAAATGTAGTAACCAAATGTTTTTTGGAATTTCTAATCAGTTAATTGAATTTTTTTGGTTTAGTTTTTTTAATATTTTTTTATTTTTTTAATTTAATTAGTTTTTAATTTTTTTACCTTTAAATTCAATAGTGTCAGATATTAGTTAAAAATCTTAGAATTCTTGATCAGAAAAGATTCGATTACATAAAACTTATTTAATAGTTAGAAGCTGTAATTTTTTATATAAATAAATATGAGGGCAAATATATTTAAAATTTTTAAAAAATATTGAATCCATTAATAAAAACTTGGGAGGTCAAATACTTGCGTGATTAAGTGTTTTTAAATATAGTAGCCTTTTACCCTTTTGATGGTAGCAAACGCGGCGACGTTTTTGGCGGTAACCAGATGCAGCGATAGCCTCTCGTAGTTGCAAGAACCTCCTGCAATGGCACCATACAACATCAGCAACAAGAGCCAAAAAGTTTATCCAGCAGCGACACCTAAACGCAGCTAGAAAAGTCAAAACAAGTAGGTGCAAAAGACAACGTAGAAAAATATAGTAGCAACTCCAAAACACAACAATTTCAACATACTTTAATGGCAGAAAAGAGAGTCCAAAATTAGAAAATTTACAGCAGCAATAGGTACCTTCCAAGGCATAAACAACCTCCAAAACAAACTAGAAATCATCCTCTAATAGCAATAGAAAAGAGTCTTCAATGAATAATTTTCATTATGATCTTTGAAGCATGTTAATGGATAATTTTCTAAGTTCTAAGAAGTAATGGAGAATTTTTTTCTCATTGAATAACTGAATCATCAACTACATCAATAATAACATGTATGCAAAATGAAGATAGGAATGCAACAATTAAAAGCTTCAAAATAAAAAATTATTTTTTCTAATCCATTGACTAATCAATCTTGAAAATTACTAAGAAACAACTAGAGCAAAGAAACTGTAACTTTAAGGACTTTGAACGAAATCTAAATTGCTTTAGATAAATATGAGAGAGTCGGTCAAATAATATTTTTCACAAATGATGACAATTATTAACAATATGTGGATCCTTGATGATAAAATTGAGGATATCATCATTATTGAGAAAACTCTTCTTTCATTGATGCCAAAATTCAATTTTGTTGTGCGTTCAATAGAGGAAACTAAAGTTATTGATAAATTGCAAAGTTCCCTACTAATTCATGGCTAAAAGTTGAATCAACAAGATAAAAGAAGCAAGTTTTATGAGTTTTATCTAATAATCATTGTCTTTTACCTTACGAATAGGTGGTTGAGGAAATGGATGGAGCATAAGCAATAATAATGTTAGATTTTCACATTAGTAATTTGAAGATAATTATTTTTTTAATTATTAAATATATATATATATATATAAACAATTATTCAACATTTTACTACCCAAAGTCAATAGCCAAATTAAGAGTTTATGGTACAGATATGAACATTTCAAATCAAAATGTCAAACTAATTTAAATAGTATTGGTGATAGAAACTTAATTTTGCAAAAACAAAAATGAAATATCTTTATTGATAAATTGTCATAGAGAAAAATCACTAAAGTTTATGATATTTAGACACTGGTTTTAACAATTAAATGAGTGGAGATAAGTTAATCTTTTTTGGTTTATATGAATTTTATCAAGATTTTGTGAAGCTTGACAATAAATTTAAAGTTTTTATTAGTAAATAATAATAATAATAATAAAAAGATAGTAGTTCTAATCAAGAATAATATTGTTCATATTATCTTTGATGTTTTTTTTTTAATTCCAGAATTAAAAACAAATGTTTGGTCATCATCAAGAAAACAATTACAAAGTTTATTTCAAAATCAAATATATAGAATTGGAGATAACAAATTGGGCTTAATATCTTCACAATATTACTCTCTCTTTTTTTTACAAGATTAAAGGTTTGTTTAAAATTACACTACCGGTTATGATTCAAGTTACTTTTTACTTAAAATATATTAAAATAATTTTTTTAAAAAAAATATTTTTAATATTAGCATATTAAAATAATTTAAAAATATAAAAAAATATTTTTTAATAAAAAAATTTAAAATTTAAGGGAACACAATTTTTACTGTGTTTCCAAACGGAACCTAGTATGGCTATGACATTTTTTCTATAAACATCTTAATTTTAATAAATTAAAAATTCTTTATTAAAAGTATATTATAATACGAGTCTTCGCCAAACTACAACTCTTTATATTTTAGCAAACAACACCAAAATCAGTTTTCACCAGAAAAATCATAAAAAACAAGGAAGTCACTAGAACTTGTTTATTCTAATATTTGTGAGTGAATAATTATATTTTCTAACGAAGGTAAAAGAAATACAATTATCTTTATTGATGATTATAATAAAGAAAATTGAGTTTATTTTTTGTAAGAAAAATTTAAATTTTAAAAGATATAAAGTAGTTATTGAGAATAAATATA